ATGTTGAGGAAAAAAATTAATTTAATCCATTTTGGAATAAGGTTGTAACATAACAAAATGTGTCAAAAGTTAAGCGCTGTGAATTCTTTCTGGATGCACTATATATATATATATATTGTTTTTTATACATATATATTATTATTTTGCCTTGACATACACTTTAAGAATTACATAAGTAACACATGTAATCAGGCCCTTAATTCCTTCCACATTCCAGGCCTTCTGTTATCTGCAAAGAGCTGATAAATCTAAAGTAATGGATGTGATGGAGAGGCATTAATGCATAACTGAAAGATAAAGACAAACTTCCATTGCATATCAGTATGCCAGTACAGGGTTTCTTTACAGGCTTCAACTGATGTTTTTTGATAATTGAAGGTTGATGAAAAGGGGAAATGGGACCATGTGGTTTAAATAGACAATATAATTAGTAATAACTATGGGATATGGAAAAAAAAAAAACAAGTGACTGTGTTATACTGGAGGATGCTGAGAACATCTCTCATGTCACTTCAAATTGTCTCACAACCTCTCCAAGTGACCTAAAACAATCGTGGGGAATACTGCAAAGACTGACTGGCATTGCCTTTAGCAAGTTGCTCATCAGGGTCTCTTGTTCACGGGAAGCTTCAGAGATACTTTTCAACTACCTGTTGACGTGTCCTCCATTTTCCCTTCATAGGTTATTTGCATAGCACAAAGGCAACTGACTTAGACATACATAGTACAGGACAATGGACATGGTACAGAATGGTAAATTTAGATCAATCTCAGGAAAAATTCAGGATGTATGCTCTCATGTTGCTTTCAGGCAGCCATTGTTTTATATAATATAATGAGATTTCCATAGAAGCAACAGAAGCAGCATCTTTGGTGCTCCTCCAGTTCAGGTGGGCAGCCACAAGGTATCCAGCAGTTTAAGTCAATACTTGTCCAGAACTACAGCAAAAAGGAGATCTATCCAAGAGACACAGTTCCAAGAATAAATGTTAACAACTTTTGCCACTGCAAAGGATTGGTTTTATAGCTTTCCAGCTTGCAGTAGACTAATCAACCACAAGCTGGGAAAAAATTATACCTTGCAGATTTTCCTTCCTATACATACTGCAGAGTGGAAAAACATCACTAACTTTCCAGACCTTGCTGGAAAACTGCAAAATCATGCTGTCATCTTTTTTTTTTAACCACCAAAGACATCTCAACAGGGGTACCATAATCTACTCCAGTTAGCCAAAATGCTGACTCCAGTCTGACCATATCTTGGAACTATTGGTTTAATTTACTAAAGGCAAATAGAATGTTCACTTTGCAAGAGAAGTTTCACTTGTTTTCCTGGACCTTAGTGACTGTGGTGAACTTTCACTTTGCAAAGAAGTTTCATCTTATGCAAGACAAATACAAAAAAAGCATTCTTCCTTGCACATGATTGGATGAGGAAGTCAGCAGACCGGCACCTCATTCGCTAAGTTCTGGGGAAACTCCCTTGCAAAGTGCAACTTCCCTTGCAAAGTGAACTATTTGCCTTTAGTAAATCAGCTCTTATATGTCTACTTTTTTCAGGGTTCATATCCACTTTTGTACACACAAAGGAAAGTTTTACTAGTATGAGCAGATAAACAGTGCAGATATATTTTAACATTCAAACATATCCAAAATACACAACATACTTTAAAAGAAGAACAAAATCTACTCAGTATCAGCCTTCCCTTTTGTCTGCCTTTGTAAAATATAGCACCAAATTTGTTTTTTAAACGTAATTTGTCACCAGACTATGGACATTCAAGTATTTATATATTCTTAATAAGCAGTGAAAAATAAGATTTAACATATTTGAATGTCCATAACCTGTCCACAAATTAACTTTAAGGTCCAGAGCATAGTGTGGTCATTGTAACTCCAAAGGAACCATTTGTTTTCCTGTGTTAGCTAAAAAGACTGGTACAATTTGTATTATCATCAGAGGTGTATTTACCACAAGGCAAACAAGGCATTTGCCTAGGGTGGCATTTTTCAGTGGGGGCAGCACTGCCCATTGAAGAAGGGACGGAAGAAGGGACACACGCGGCACGGGGACCTGGTGGGTTCCGAGAGATGCTGTGGGTTTTATGACGGTGTATGCACAGCCTGACTCTTGTTCCTGGGGATGTCCAGAGCTGTGAAGGTGAATGTCTTTCTCTCTCTCTCCATAGGGGATGGTGGCTGGTGTACGGGGGGCAGTGGTAGTGGAAGGCTTGGGTGGAGGGCAGGGGTATTCTTGTCAATGTCAGGCTCTTTTTGTGTGGGAGGGGGCAATTTTTTTGTGTTGCCTAGGGCAGCACAAAACCTAAATACACCACTGATTATCATCCATAGCAAGAAGGATGTGTCAATATAATAGGGTTATAAAATGGTGCCAACACAGGACAAATAGGATAAAAACTCATGTCATATTATGCAACTCAAATCATATTATTCAGGTATTTTTCCTAAAGTATAGAAATATGAGTGATGCTTTAGGGTATATTAGGCAACAATGAACATTTTTCTAATGACAACCATTGCTAAAGTTATGTCTTCTATAGGTTATTCGCTCATACATGTGTAATTAAACTTCATGTTTTTTTAATGTGTCTATATTTTATACACTTATTAATATGCTTGCAAAAATGAAAAAGTCTGTGTAATAATGAACATATGACCACACACCGTAAATGAAAACAAAATCAGCAAGGAATCTACAGTACCTAGATAGTTCATCTTTACATTATATTCATCTCTTTAGAAAAGATGCTAAAACACAATGGTCTCTAAGATGTATTTCTTTTGAGAGCAATGAAAATAGGTGTGGCATGTCTTTCAGAGACAGAAATGACAAAGAATAGCCAGCAGATGGCGACAACAGATAGGTTTCCAATCTTTCCCTGTCTCAGTCACTCCCTCCTAACAAAGGTCAGCAGATTCTGAAACTGGAAATCTGGAATACAAATGATTGAATGAACACTAGCAATAGGTTGTCTTGTAACAAAAGAACAAATCATAGTTAGTACAGGATACAGGTCTCAGATTTATTTCATATGCTTTTAGACGTCCAAAGGAAAAAATGCAAAGCCATTTGCAAATGGTTTTCTATACCGACATGCTGTATATTAGAACTCATGAGATCATATATTTTGTTCATTGCCAGCCTTTTCAGACTACAGAGGGAATACTTTACACAGTGCCTTCCAGCTGTTACAACATAGGATGAATATTCATAGCCTAGAGCAAGTTATGACTACATGGAAACTGTTACAGCTAGTCATGACACATTAATCCTGCGCTGTGATTTAACACAAAGAGCCAGTTGCTGGGATGATAACTTGGAGAAACATGTTCATGTAGGTAGCAGAGCTTTACAGTAATAACATTCAAATACCCAAACACCTAGAGAATGCAGTAGATGTTATGAGCTTGAAAGTTTTTTTTTCTGATCCATTCATCTTTTTTACAATAAACTGCAACAGTGAATAAAAACGGTAGACTTTAGAGGCTAACATTAACATAATGCAATCCTTTAGAAGTATTTAAAAGTAAAAATCCACTGCAGATTGTTTAAACACTGCTACAAATGACATCTCCATTGGACAATGTCACCAACTTTCTAAAATGAGTGCACAGGGGAATATTTACTAAAACTGGAGAGTGCAAAATCTGCTGCAACTTTGAACAGAAACCAATCAGCTTCCAGGTTTTACTGCCAAAGCTTCATTGAACAAGCTGAACTTAAAAACCGATTGGTTGCCATGCATAGCTGCACCAGATTTTGAGTGCACCAGTTTTATTAAATCTACCCCATTGTTTTAAGTCCAGCTTTTAGAATGGTACATTTTCCTGCCAAATGACTTCTTAGAGATTTACAGCTGAAAAAAACATTATTATTATTATACATTTTACTACCAAATGACTTCTTAGAGATTTACAGCTGAAAAAAACATCATTATTATATTACATTTTACTACCAAATGACTTCTTAGAGATTTACAGCTGAAAAAAACATCATTATTATTGTTATTATAATGATGTTTTTTCAGCTGTAAATCTCTAAGAAGTCATTTAGCAGGAAAATGTAACATTCTAAAAGCTGGACCTAAAACAGTGGGGTAGATTTAATAAAACTGGTGCACTCAGAAACTGGTGCAGCTGTGCATAACAACTTATTTGCATAACTTTTACAAAATTAAAAAAAAAAAAAAACTTTTCTAAATACAGCGTAATGATTGGAGTAGAAGAAAGGGGGCTGAGTTTCTTGCATTCCATATTATATTTAAATAAATACATTCTATATCTAAGCAAACATCAAACAAATCAAGCCACAGCATGTAAGCTGCATTGTAAAGGCTTTATGTATCTGATAAATGTTTTGGATAAAATCAATGCCTTTAAAACAAACTGTCTCTCTTTTTCTAAGTGAGCAGCATACTAATACTGCAAGTAAGCTAATAATAGGAAGCTATATTAGTTAAAGAGAAAAAGTTTTGTTTTTTTCAAGTTCTATGAAAAAAGCCATGTGCCTTTGTATGAAATAGTCATCATTCCGGCAGGGATTGTTAACCACATGGCTGCACAGTGTTCAAAAGCACATTCCCATGTTGTTAAAGTTTGGTCCTTCTCTGCCTTGATGTTGTTTTAGCTGTCCTAGGGAAGGTCAGATTACACTGCAGTCAGGGATGTAGAAGGATGGAGGATCTGCATCAGACAAGCACATCCAAGTCCTCTGCAACCTGTTGCTCCTTTAAGTTTAATATACTGGTTTGCAAAGGAGTAAAAAAACAAAAACTCGCATATCTGTTCGTATTTTCGATGAACAATATGGCATTCCAAAAACAAATGTGAAACCAGTACAACATAAGTAAAACAACAAACAAAAAAAAAAACAACTAAGCAGAGTTTGCTTTGCCTTCGGAGTAAGTGTGTAACTGGATACCTGAGCAGTTAGGAACAGTAAGGTGAGCGAAGAATATAAAATGATGACAATTACTCACCTTGCTGCTGTGCCAAAATAAGGGACGGGTAAGCCACTGCAAGGATGCAGAGGAGGGAGGATATTTGCACAAAGCTCATCATGTCTAAATGTTAGACATGAGACTCTAAGTGCAGACTGGGGGATGAAATATGAAAAATAATCTTCTCAAATTAGCACCATCAATTGTTCCCCTACCCCCTTCGACGATGGGCCCTTAAACAGAACTTAGCCACAGAGATTCCCTTGCAGAGTTCTTAAATAGGGAAATCTTTGGCATGTATTAAATCCCAGCCCCTTTCTGAAACTTGAGAGGTGTTTCCATCACTAAACCCATTCAATGCTGCAGCATCCCATATAGGGCTTCCACTGTACATTTCTGCCAAGTGAAGTTGTAGAAGAGTTAACATGCAGAGACCTGCGAATGACCTTACAGAGCAGGAAGAGATGTTAAAGAACACATCTGGAGAAATGCTCCTTATGTACTTTTGTGTCAATGAGTAGATTACAAATTTGCACTTCTCGCTAAATATAGAGACAGCAGATGTTCTTGAATCTGTTGCCACACACTGAGCACCAACATGATTCATATCATTGTCTAGTTATCGAAGACATAGGTACATGCTATTGGACTTATTCAAGTGCAAGGGGTAAAGTGCAAAGTGCCAAAAGCGATAATCATACCAACCAGACTGATCGTATTTTACTAAAGCCAGAGCCGGAATTTGGCTTGGTGTTTTACTTGCAATGTTTTACTGTAAACATTGGAAGCCGGGAAATGTCATTATTAATACCTTGTACAATGTACAAACATTTTGCTGCGTTTGGTAACATTTCTTCTTATAATCTAGGATATTTACAAAAGTAACTGGAATCCACGTAGACTAGGATTTAATATGGTTTTATGAAGTGCTAATTTTATAGGAAAAAGGTATTATGATGATTCTCGCACGCTCTGAGCAGGTCTGGTCATTGTAAGCAAATCTAAGCGCTATACTGTTTTCTGGGCAGTGCAGTGTGGATGTATCCTGGAATTGGCATGCAGTTGACTCTGGCAAGATTTTTATAGAGTAGTCTTGAATTGTTTTGGCTGCTCTCCTTTTCTAGTCACCGTGTACTCCATAAAATCAGTTTTTAGCCAAGATGTTCTCTGTAAAAATGAGTACAAATGAATTGTGCTTATGGGATGGGGGTCAAACTGCAGCAGGTATAAAGTGCACATACAGAAAGATCAGTGAGGCTTCCCGTTATACTGATTGGCCTATAGCAATGTGTAGGAGTGGAGCTTAGCTGCAAACTCTGACACTACATGGAAGTGTCAGGAGTTTTGCTCATCAGAACAACCCAGGACTTAACCATAACAGGAAGGCTTGGGAGGTCACTGTAGGTATGTGGTAGATGCCTGTACTTTATAAATCAAATGGAAAATGCAGCACAGCAATATAAACTCAAATGGTGCTCATAATACAAACATGCATAAATGAATAGTGAAACAGAAATTGTGTATGTGACAATAAATATGTGGTACATCCAATGTATTCTTAACGCATACACATACATCACCATAAAGTTGCACATATGAGTGCTGAAATGAATATAGATATAAAAACCAAATAAACTATATTTAATAGTGAATTGTCCCTTTAAGTCTCAGAAATCTTCATGTGTGTTTGTGCATATGTCTCCTATATATTGTGCTCCAAATACACCAGCAACAAAAATCTGCAAACAATGGTGAACCGTCCCTTTAAATCCGAGGTACTCCAAGTGGATCAGTGTAATCACACTACTGTAATCACACTACTGCATACATGTGTATGGTGCTCCTGTGTCACCCTTTAGTGTACATCCACCTCCAATACACTATTGCTCTCACCTTCAGGTGTAAACCTTAATGCCAGGTCAAACTACGCTTTTCCCTTTAACCCGGGAGGGTATACTGGTACATAGATCTTCAACACTGTCAGCACTTTAAACTCTTCAGAACGCTCCACAAACATAGGAAAAAGTACTCCATGTAGTGTAACATTGCCAGGTAAAAAACAAGCTTTATTAAAATGCTCAAAATGAGCTCGCATTTAAAAGTGTCCACCTGGGACACTACAGGGTAAAACTCACTATACAGTATGTACAGGAATCCCTTTTCCAAAATGGCGACACGTGCACTTCGTTTGTGGCTTGACGTCATCGGCGTACCCGATGACGTATAAAGTACATATTGCCTGTACTTTATACTTACAGCAGTTAATCTCCCTTCGCCCCAATGACAGAATATCCTTAAAAGCTTTGTTCACCTTCAGGAAAAAAAAATAATAAATGCATATATTTTTGCAGCAAAAGAAGTAGGATGATTTAATGCTGCATCTGTCCCCAGCCATCTCTACATCAAGAACTGAATGAACAAAGACTGCTGATCACTCAGTTCTTGGGTCCACTCTAAGCACAAAGCAGTGACTATTAGTCACCAGCTCTCTGCTCTGCCCCTCCAGCACTCACTGGAGTGCCAAGCTAGATGCAGCATCGATTTGATGCCGCATCTGTCTCCAGCCACCTCTACATCAAGAACTGAATGAATAAAGACTGCTAATTATTCATTTCTTTGGTCTGCTCTAAGCACAGAGTAGGGCCTGTTAGTCACCAGCTCTCTGCTCTGCCCCTCCAGTGCTCACTGGAGTGCCAGGCTGAAGGGGGGGCAGGAGCAGCTGATTAAGGCTCTCTGGAGCAAGCTGAGAAGTTTAGCCAGCTGCCGGTCAGGCATCTGGGTGGAACCAGACATTATTGTCACAATCTTTGCAGAGCCTGGGCCAGCTCTGTGACATCAGCCGACAGTTTGCTATAGCCTGTGGATGGCTGAATCTGGGTTACAGAAGTGCAAAACTAAGTACACTCCTGTGACCTACAGAAGAGGTTTTACCAAAGTGCTTTGTTCATGGGTCTGCTCTAAGCACAGAGCAGGGACTTTTAGTCACCAGCTCTCTGTTCTGCCCCTCCAGCGCTCACTGGAGTGCCAAGCTGAAGGGGGACAGGAGCAGCTGGCTAAGTTTCTCTGGAGAAAGCTGAGAGGCTGAGCCAGCTGCTGGTCAGGCATCTGGATGGAACCAGACATTATTGTCGATGGCTGAATCTGGGACACAGAAGTGCAAAACTAAGTACACTCCTGTGACCTACAAAAGATTTTTTACCAAAGAGCTTTGGCCATACTTCTCCTTTAATGTGACACTAATACTTCGTTAAAAAAAAAAATAACAAACATGTTATACTTACAGTACCTGCTCTCTGCAGTGGTTTTGCACAGAGCAGCCCAGATCCTCTTCTTCTCAGGCCCCTGCCGGCACTGCTGGTTCCTGCCCCACCAGCAATGCCCCCCAAGCAAACCCGCTCACTCTGGGGGCACCGCTGCATGCTTGTCCCTGTGCCTGTGCTCTATGAGTTCATAAGACACATAGAGCCGCGGCTTGGCCCTGCCCCCCGATCACTCCTCATTGGCTTACTGGCTGTGATTGACAGCAATGGGCTCCCACTGCTGTCTCAACCAATGTGGAGAAAGAGTCCCCAGTCATCAGAGGCTGACAAGAACCATGCTGGGTTGGAGGGGGCTCAGGTAAGGATTGGGGGGGTGGGGCTGGGTGGTGAAGGTAAAAAACCTGAGCTCTTAGAACCACTTTAAATTAATACCTGATTCATATAATTTTCACACACTGGGATTGAGTGTGTACATGACTGTGTTCAGTCATAGGGTGAAGTGTGTCCTGGATAAAGCTGTATTACTTAGCGTTACTTACCTGCAGTGTACTCTGCATGGAGATCATAGACCTAACTGTGATGTCTGCTGGGAGTACCTGGAGCACAAGAATGTCTGAACAGGATACAAATCCTTTAACAGGTAAAACAGTTATGTTATACTTGTACAGTATTTAAATATACTTATCCTTATTACATTAGGATGTTTGCTTAGGGTTTAACATTAGTATTAGCATGTAGCAAATCCAATAACTCAAATTTGGATCAGTAATTCATATAAAAGAACTATTCCTATGCATTGAAGATGTATTAAGACATTTGCAAAGTGTTTGTTCCAAATTTTGATTTATGTATTGATATACCTCTCATGACTCAGTCTGTCTGGATGGTATGGTCACCTGCTGGCTTGGCACCATACATAGGCAGCTTAACTCTACAATAAAAGACACGGAAGTTAAATCCAAAGCAATTTTACTTAAGTGTAGCACAAAGGATGTTTTTAGTGAAAGAGGCCAATGACTTTCCTAAACCTTGTCTCTGAAAGGGACTAACATTTACTAAGAGAATATGGAATAAACAGGAAGGGTCTGGCTGGAAGTGAACTAATAAGCACTAAATACTATAGGAGGGGAGGACAGAGGCATATACTAAATCATTAAGTATACAGGTTGTAGGTGCCATAAACCACAACTATTTGTCAGCACACGTCAGAATAATAGTAAACTGATTCAGTTCAGTACAACAGAATAAATACATATAGGTAGGACAGAACACTCCCCACCTGAAGTCTGTAGATTTAATTTTAACAAAGTACTGTATAAATCCATGAATGAAATAAACAAAAGAATGCAAACATATAGTCCAAGTCCAAAAATGTCAGCTAAAAATTTACATTATCTTTGACACTACAGTCTTGATACCTGAAACAGCCCTTGAAGGCATGAAATCACTTCTCCATGGGTGGCAAAGCATGCATAATCCCTTAGAGATAGAACTGAACAAGTCTCTCTTGTTGATCCAAATATCAATTCTTTTAATTCTTTTTATGTCTGAAATAATGAATTCTCCAGCAGGGGCATTTCTTCCTGTGGTTTCCTCTGTGCCAGAACATTTGTGCAGGGTATAGCTCAATATTTCTCCCCTTACCTAAAACATGTCAAAGACCTCTGAAGTGGTGAATGAATGACTCTTCGATCACACTACATCCTGACAGGTTTCTTTGGTTGTCCCCAAGGCAAAACTTTCACCAGACATACTATATTTTAGCACTAGTTTTCTCTGAAAGTCCTTTGTGACATAGTTCACTATTATTATATTTAATCATTAGAGATGACTGTTCATGGCTTTTCCCCACTATGATCTA